TAAATTGTCTGGAGAAGCTTCTGGCAAACTCCCTGCCGTGTCTTCCTGGTACAAGGAGGCTATCAGAATCCACACATGGCTGGGGAGATCTCCTTAAGAAGGTGAACGCATCTGAAGTGTGCTCATCTTGACCGCGTGAGGGAAGGAAGTGAAATTTCCGTCGCTTCCCCTTTCTCTAGTCAGCATAACCACCAACTGCTTTTGGGAAAGACAAAGTAAGACTGTGTGCAAGGTCTTTCTAAAGAGCAGGGTGGTACTGTCTCACAGCCATGTGATGAGAGAATTTGAAAACTAGAGGGGAGTCCGGGAACATTCAACCCAATCCCTTTGTCTTAGAGGCATCTTAAATTCTCACGACTCAAGTTGATTTCTAGTAGCTCTTTTCCCGATTATGTCCCTTCCTTGTTTTCCTCAGCCCAGCAGAGCAGACTCTACCTCCACTCAGGGCCTCCACCACAGAACTACATTCACCTCCTGAGTTTCTCCTCTATGCCACAGTTGGTCTGACAGTAAATGCTATTGGTTCTCCTTTTAACAGGCAGAACTGGGACCCTGCTTATTATCTCCTGGGCTACAGCTGAAGCCATATATTTTATTGTATTTTTTAAAAGCCTTGCATGCCCAGGTGTGCACACACACAGGAGATACAGCCTTATATATACACAGGGTTAGGGCTGACCTTAGGCTTGGGCAGCCTCTCAGCGGGCTCATTCCTGAAGAAAATTGATTCCCCTCCCCCAGCAACCATTGACTGCTTGTATTTTTTCCTGCGGTGTATGGAACACAGAGGTCTTTGTGCTTGCACACACACACTGGGAAACCTGGACTGTCAAACACACAGGGTTCCTTCTAGGGAAAGAATGCAAAACCTGTTTCTGCCCAGAAGTCTGGAGCTGACGTGACTTCTAGCCTGGTGACTTTTGTGCAAGCTGTGAGGCTGGAGATCCTCCTCCAGACCCTAATTATATAAACTTACTTTTCTTATTCAATCTCCAGAACCCATTTTATGGAAGATGTCACAGGTATTTTGCAATGTGTCTCGATGTCTAAATACAAGGTTTACCATGTATTTACATTACTTTGTTCCTCATGGAGACTTACATATGCTTTGCTATGCACATGGGATGGAGTTAATTATCACAAGATTAGTTTTACCAGATGGTGATGTGTTTAAAAAGTGCCTAAAATAAACAACTTGGGGTCAGACTGCTTACATTTGAACCAACGCTGGCTACTAAGCTGTGTTGTGCCAAATGCCTTCTTGCCTCCTGCAACTCATCACTCTGCTGCCCATGAAGGTGTCAGAGATAAAACCCCCACATACACAATGTAAGAGTGAAAACTTGAGAACTTTCCCCCCATTTTGTTGGCATATCCATTAATACAGTCTTATGCAGGTGTTGTATGGCACCTATATTGTTGAGAGCTCATGGGTGCAACATTCTTGTTATGTCCACAAGACACTATCACACATCATTGTCCCGGTCCTATCTTTTGCAATCTTTCCACCATTTTCTCCATGATATTCCCTGAGTGTTAGGTATAGGAATTGTATTGCAGATGTATCAGTTGGGGTTGGGCACCCCACGGTAATTTTGACCAATTACAGATCTCTGTAATAGTCCTCATATGCTGCCAAAAGAAGTTTCTTGATGAAGGGTAAGAGCTGCACTAATGTATAGACAAAAGGATAAGTATGTAGAAGGCAATAGAAACCACATTAGTTTAGCAAAATGGCAGTTGTAGATTCTCCTGTAGAGTTATGACCTCTCAAGCCATAAGTTTTTGGCTAGGTTTGCAGTGCCAAGCCTGAGTTCCCTCTTATTGAATTAGTTTTAGGTCCAATGAGAGATCAGTTGGTTACATAAGATGTAAGTACCACTATTGTACTGTTGGTGATAAGTTGCTGGACTTGTCATTATTATGGTTCTTAGGATTTGCAGTTGCATAGGACTGCTGATAACTTTTTTTCCTTTGACAGTTGTCATAACTGATGGGGGAAGTCCGTCTGTGTATATGTTGTTCTATTGGTTGATAAATTAGGCACTGTTGGCCAATAGGGAAGCAAGATAGGTGGTATTAGGAGTCAAAGAGGATTCTGGGAAGTGCAGTCAAGGATGAGAGTCGCCATGTGATCCCAGGAGGAGAGGGCACAAGTCCGGTGTTCTTGGTAAGGTAAGACCTTATAAAAATATATATTAGTAATTATGGGTTAATAATTAAGTCAGAACTAGTCATTAAGAAACCATAGCAAACAACCAACAGCTTCATAATTAATATAGTGTCCTGCATGTTCATTTGGGACTAATGCAGCTCTGGGACCAGGTGGCTGGGAAGAGTACACGTTACACATAACAGTTTACAACATTATGAGAGCTAGCCCTAAGAGAGGAGACTTCTGGTTCAGTACTAATTTAACATCTCCAAGTCTGTGACTGTGATGTGTTCATCAATAGGATCTTACCACCATGCTTTGGGAGGCAGCCAAGAACAATGGCAATAGCTTACATTTTTTGTGGGCCTCTTGGCCCTCTGACCAACAATTTAAAGAACATTATCTCTTGCCTGGCACTGGAATTTTTGTTGAATAATCTATTGCTCCTGGGGCATATTATCTGTCTGTGTAGGTAACTCCAATTAATCTATATACATATATAACAAAAGCATATATATATTGCATATGTATCTTAAGTAATCTTATAAAATAATACATCTTTCCTTTGTACCATTGCAATGGCACAAGGTCAGTAAGTGCCAAATATAATAGCTACCTGTTTTGATGACTGACATTTTATTGGTCCATGGCCACATTCATTATCTGACTTTGTCAGTGCAACAACGGAAGATTCAGTACACAGGACAGACATCCCAACTGAAAATATTTACTATCGTTGTCTCTTGGCTGAGTTTTCTAACATGTGCAACAGGCTTTTATTATTTTTAAAGTGTCTCATATAGCCCACGATAGCCTCATACTTTCTATATAGCTGAGGCTGCCCCCTAATCCTCCTGTACCTACCTCTTAAATACTAATATTACAGGCATGAACAACTATTCTAGGCTTCCAACTGTTTTGTAAGTTGGAAGATGACCACTGTTGGTCTCATCAGGTAAGAGGTAAAGTCTAAAGACTCGGAAGGTCCTGTGCGATCTGGAGTTTCCATGACACCCTGACCTACTCTTCTCACTCTTCTCCACTCTGATCTACTTGGTCTGTCATGCTGATGGCCATTCTCCCAAACCGAATCTTCCTCAATAAACCAGGTGAGTCTGTATCCCTGACGCACAGCCTTGCCTTTTTTGCCCCTTCTGCTTTAATGGACCTCTGGAACCATCACAAAGGCATCTTTTTATCTGCTTTGTTTCTCTAATATCCCAGGAGCTAGTTCTGGGAGGCAATGATGCCAACATTCCAGGTAGCATTTATCCACATCCCAACAAAGGTTCTGTAAATGGTCTTGTTCCAAGTGCTAGGAACATCAGGCATAAACAACCCATAGATCTGTGAAGGCATTTTGATGTCCACCTTCACACTTTCGTCCTTCATCTTACTTCTCTCCTTGTAACCAATGTCTCATGCCATGCCTTGAGTCTCCGGCTATGTTTCTGCAATGTTTTAGAACTTACTCTATAAGCTTCCACCCGTCATTATTAAAACATATCTCCTTAGTTTCTATTACCTAAAGACCCCAGCACGTTCTCTTCTAAGCTGATAAACTCATTAGAAGCCAAATATTAATGAATAATAATGTCTCTACTGCCTGGAAAATAATTTGCATTTAAACAACTTTTAGTGCCTGAATGCAAAGGGGTAAGTGATGGGGGGAAGTCTCAGCAGGCCCTAGGCCTGGGCCAGCTAGGGCAGCCACAGAAAGGTCCCTGAAGAAACATCAAATCACAGCTCATACATAGCTATCCACCTTACCTCGGCAAGGTAAGCCTAGCCATGTATATTCCTCCGAGCATTCATGCCACCGCTAGGCAGGGAGCCAATTAGAGGTGCTGGGAACATCTTAACTTGCATAGAAATAAGCCTGTCGTTTGTGATATATGTATACACTTACATATAGTGCTATCGATTCCTCCCATTAGAGCTTTGATAGCTTTTCATCTAGCTTTCAATCCTGCTGGCACAAAACACTTCTTGAGAGAGAAACAGAAAACTGTATAAACATAGGTTCAGTCAAAAAAAAAAGACTGGTTGGGTAGAGAGTCAGATATTGGAACACAAATGGGAAACATACTCCTCAAGCACTGTCAGGCAAGAGAGTCCCTGAACAAAGAAGAGGATTTATCCACACACAAGCACAGTGTCTTATTCCAGGGGACCAGTACTCACACTTGGCCTGTCTAGAATGCCCCCAAACTTTCCAAGACAGAGCAAGTTAGGCCAAGTATTTTTGCCTAGTTTCTCAGAGCCAACTACAAGTGATCTGGCCTCCATGAGTGTTGAGAATGAGCAGGTTTTCTTTCCAATTATAGGAAAGTATAGTTTTCTTCCATACTCATGCGTACAATGCCACACAGGCTTCTGAGTTGCCTCAGGGTGGAATGGGTATTTCAGATACCTAGTTTCTTGATGGACACACAAAAGGTAACTACTTCCCAAACTGAGTCTAAATTGACTACAGAGAAAGCACAAGGAAGTGCATCTTGGTTTCTGTGAGAACAGACATGGAATCCACTACTTCAGCATGACATGTTGGAGACCCAGCTATCCACAGCGAGGCCTCACTTGTGGCTGGCGTGTTTCATCTAGTGAGATCTGCAAAAGGTCAGCTGACATCTGCAACCTGCAGAAAGTACAAAATACTCAGAAGACAAGGAGAGCTGTTTTGCCCCCTACTACAGAACTTTCCCGCTGAAACAAAGGGCAGAGGGAAGCTGATTACTCCTGAGTACTTTGTATCCCTCTGAAGGCATGCTGCATGCCTTTTGAAGTTCTACTCGAAGCCAGAGATAGTCACAAGTTTGGAATTAGAATCCCTTGATAGACTCACCGAAATCGAGACTGCTGGGCCTTCCAGGATGTCTCACTTAAGAGGTTGGGTGCAGAACAAGAATAGCATTTCTAGAAAACTCTGAGAGCTGCCGTTGATACAGGTGCCACCCTGGGGAACCACACTCTCAGATCACACTGTCTGTAAGAACCACACCCTCAGATCACACTGTGTGTTACCACTGTGCTTCAGGAAGCTGTGGTGGGTGCAGAGAGGGTGTCATTTTATCTTCTGCAGTAGCAACTGGCATGTGGGACAGTCAAGCCCATGTCCTGTTCAATACAAATAAGAAAGGTTGGAGAGAGTGGACCCACCAGCCTTTCTCCTATTTGCAGATCTGTAGAAGTCTCATCAGGAAGTGTGGTCTTAGCTCACCCACATCGCATTCACACTGACTGTCTGGCAAATCTGTGTGTCCTGGCTCACAGCCACAGCCACAGAAACTGGCCCAGAGTTAGAGAGGCGATCAATCAATCAGTAGATGTACCCAGAGAACTCACAGGTGAGTGATCTTCATGAGGTGCTGTCTTTGCACAAATGAACACAGCAGGGCAGGAGGGACACACCCAGAAAGCCTTGATGTAGACAGGAAATGGAGTCCTCTACTGACCTGCCTGGCTGCTGATACAAGAATTCAGCAGAAACCAGAGATGGGACTATCAGTCCAAAATGTAGACAACTAGAGTGGTGTTTTGAATAACTGTGACCCTCATGTGCTCATAGGTTTGAATATTTGGTCCCAAGTTAGTGCAACTGTTTGAGAAGGAATAGGAGACGTGGACTTGTTAGAGGATCTGTGTCCCTGACAGTGGCTTTGAGGTTTCGATAGCCCATACCATCCCCAGTTAATCACCTACCACCTGCCTTCAACTCTCAGATAAGATTTAAGCACCCAGTTACTGATGCAGAGCAATGCTTACCTGCCTGCTATCATGGCCCCCACCATGAAGGCCATGGACTAACCCCCTGAAACTGTAAGTTCCCAATAAACTCCTTTTATTATAAGTTGCCCTAGTCACTGTCCTATTGCTGTGAAGAGACACCATGATTACAGCAATTCTTATAAAGGAAAACATTTAATTGTGATTCGCCTACAATTCAGAGGTTTGATCTGTTCTCTTCATGGTGGGAAGCATGGCAGCATGCAGGCTGACAGGGTGCTAGAGAAGGAGCTGAGAGTTCTAGATCTTGACTCACAGACAGGAGGAAGTAGCCTGTCTCACTAGGCATTGCTTGAGCATGTATGAGACCTCAAAAGCCCACCTCTACAGTGACACATTTCCTTCAACAAGACCACACCTACTCCAACAAGGCCACACCTCCTAATAGTGCCACTCCCTCTGGGGGCCATTTTCTTTCAAATCACCATAGTCACGATTTCTCTTTGTGGGAATAGAAAAGTAACTAAGACAACACCTATGCTGCTTGTCCTGGACAACTTGACCCTCAGCAGTCTCTAAAGTCAGAGTCTTTCTGTATCTTAGCCTTAGAAGAAGAGCCTGAGTAAACAAAAAGTTGCCATGGTTTGGGGCCATTTGAAGATGTTTGTATGTAAAAAGAAGGAGGCAGGGAATTTTATTCAACTGGGGATATCTCAGAAGAGCAGTACTGCGGTTGAACACTGCACGAGACATCTGTCAGGAAAAATGACATGTTTATCTACATTCTTGTGCTTCCACAGCAGGTCAGTTGGGGCTCCATCTTCTGTTTCTTCCTCACTCCAAGACCCAGCCCGAGGGAGCAGCAATCCTCAGGGTCTTGCTGATCACCATGGCAGAGACGCACATTACATGCTAGGGACTGAAGCTTCTGTTCAGAAATAACACATTTCACTAGCTATAACTAGCTACTGTGCAGATTCATGTCAACCTAGAACCTTAGACTATGGCTTAATTTGGGAACAACCCTTTTGCAGTTGTATATGGCTAAGGATCTTGAGGTGATAGTGGAATTAGAGTGGTCCTAAAACTAGTGACTCCTGTCCTGATGTGAGGAAGAGAGGGCATGGAGACAAAGAGAATGAACAGACAGGGACAGAGATTGGAGTGATGGAACTCAAGCCAGGGAAAGCCAAGGGGGCAGGCTTCCTCTCCAGCCCTCAGGGGGTCAGAGTCTAGTCAACACCTCGACTCTGGACCTCTAGCTGCCAAAACTCCACACAATGATCTCTGGTCTTAAACCTCTCACTTAGGGTCATTTGTTTTGTCAGTCATAGGAACCAACATCCTTGCCAAAGTGAGACTGTGTCATCGCCAGTGCCAAAGAGTTGTTGCAGGGAGGGGTGATCCTGCAGGGCTTGATGGCTTCCTTCAAGTCCTTGCTCCATCTCTCTATCCTGGACCAACAAAGCTAAACTTGATGCATTTCATCTCCACCAACAGCCCCTTTCCCTCTGGTTTCTGTTTGAGACTTGCCAGTAACGGGAATTTGGGGAGGGAGAAAGAAGTCTTTCTTACAACCCTTCCTCTGAAAAGCCAGGCTGGCTCTGTCTGCTGTGAAGGTCATAGCTCCTGCCATACAGCTCTGCCTGCAGTTTTTACATTTTCTCGGGTGTCTGCTGACTATTTCTTCCCTGTGTCCCTCCATGGCGAGGGTGTGACAGCTGGTGCCTACAAAGGTGACTTGCCTGTCTTCTTGGTGTTCTGTAACTCCACCCACGACCCTGTCAACGGTCCTGTTATTAATCTCTCAGTAACTTCACTGAAGCATGCCATCTGTTTTCTGCTGGGACACAGAAAACACACGAACGATGTACTTCAGAGGTGACTGCGCATCTCCAGTGGACAGTGACAACCTTGCTGAGAAGTGGCACCATTGAAACAAAAGAGGTAAAACCAGAGTGGCAGGCCTGTAGATCCCTGAATTTCATTCTTCCCTTACTCTGACTGAGGTGGCATAGGGTAGGATTCAAAGCCAGCTGTACTACTTACTAGCTGTGATACAAAACTCCCAGCAACTCACTTTCTGTTCATGAACGGTGGGTGTAAATATGCTCTTTTCGGGGAAAGGGATGTTGTGAGAATTAATGTGGGATATATATGAAAAAAGAACCTACCTATAATGAGCAGAATAATGTTCCCCCAAAGAATTCTAAGTCCAAATCCCCAGGAATATATGAATGTGTTATCTGGTAAAGAAAAAGAGGCCATGTGGATGAGATAGCGCTTATAGATCTTACGAAAGGGAGATTATCTTACATTACCAAGTGGACTCCATTCAATCATTTGAGGACTTAAAAGGAAAAGGAAGGAAGTGGGCTTAGAAATTAAAGACATAGGAAAAAGAGGGGAGACAGAGGCAATAGGAGACTCTCAATGTGAGTTCTGAGATGGTTAGAGATGGAAGAACTCCAGGCAGCAGGGACCCTGATACCACACATGCTAAAGCCTGCCTGTCACCTAGGTGGAACTGGAAACAGATTTTTTCCCTGGAGTCTCCAGAAGTGCCAGCAACCCAGCCGAGGCCTTGATTTCTGTCTTGTGAGACTCAAGCAGTGAGACCAGCTGAGTCCTTTGGATTTCTATTCCATGGAACTTCCAGATAGTGTGCAATTTAAAAACCCTAAGTTCATTGCTCTTTGCTACAACAGTAATGGAAAAATACTCTTGCACACATGAACTACATATATGTTCCCCCCCAAAGAATTCTAGTTATCTACCCTCAAAGTATAGAGTTAGATGATGAAGGGATTCTAGACCACAAACACTACCAGCTCTCAAAACCTGTGTGCACTTCGATTTTCAATCTACCTGGAAGGGGACTCTCTCCAGTGCTTTCATACTTGCATGACTATGGGCTCCCTGCATGAATAGTACCAGCAGCAGGAAGAGCACAGGCAGGAGTACGAATCATTACACTGCCATAGTCAAGTCAAGCTTCTGCTAAAGTTCGCCGTGCCGAGAAAGTGCACAGAAGATTGATCACAACCTCTGTGGCAGGAGGAACTGCACTCTGTCCTATGGCCTTGTGTTGAATCAGCATCTGCTCCTACTAGTTTCCCTTTTGAGAAGAGACTGACATGCGAGTTGGTAGATAGAATGGACATCAGCTGAGAACCAAATCCAACAAAAAAGGAAGAGAAGAGGTTTCTGTGTCTTTGGAACTGGGACACTTCACTTCTCCTGCCTTGGACATCAGAACTCTGTATCTGCTGGCCATCACACTTTTCCTGGGACCCCAGAGGTCCACCAACTTCTAAGATCTCCAATATTATACTGAGAGCTACAACGCTGGCTTCCCTATTTCTGAGAAGTTCAGACTTGGGATGAGCTTTGCTACCAGCTTCATGATACTTAGCTTGCAGAAGACCTATCATGGGGCTTCCCAGCATCTACACTACACAGTCCAATTCCCCCATCTCTCTGACCACCTATCCACCCATCATTCCAGACAGCTATTTTTCTATTTATTTATCAGTGAACTTAACCTACATATATACATACCCAGAGCAGGCTCTGTGTGTCCATGGTTCTGTGTTCACACCGTCAATCATCATTGTGTGGAAAACATTCAGAAAAAGATATTGTGATTTTGTAAATAGGTACAGATATTTTTATCCTCATTACTTTTCCAAAGAATACAGGATAACATTGATTTACATATTCTACACATTGTATTTACTATTATTACCAATCTAGATATGATAGAATAAATTACATGCAAATACATCATTTGAGTTGAGAAACCTGTTGCTGAGCAATCTACCAGACTGAATGTCTCAGCAGTCCCAATCTGGCACTGAAAGCTTTGAGGATTCCTGGAGAGCTTCTGGTCTTTAGTCCATGTTGGAAGGCCAAAAAAAAAATGGGGTTCTGATGAAGTGAAGGATGGCAGCAGCAGCAGCAGCAATAGCAATAACAGTAGATGCATTCACCAGCAAGGAGCAAAAGCAGGCAGGCAAAGCCCCACTGTTTTTCCTGTGACCTCTCTGTAACTAGGCTATAGTTCAAAGGTGCTACCCAGTCTATAGGAGGGTCCTCCCCCTGGCTAGTCAATCCTCCTTAGAAATGCCCTTAAAGATCTGCTGAGAGGTGTGTTTCCAGCTGATTCCAGACCAGTTTGGTTCAGATGAATCATCGTAAATGGCATATTTTCATATAATTCATTTTTGCCTATCCTGTCTCTACCATGTGAACCATTCTAATAAATCTCTTCTTGGAATATACTAATCCTGTTGGCTCTGTCCCTTTAGAGAACATTGACTATTGCACCATTTTATATAAAGGACCTGAGAGCCCATAGGTTTGGAAATCCTGTAACCAATCTTCCACAAATACCAAGGGATAAGTGTATGACAGGGCCTGTCAGGTCTGCCTCTCTGCATAACCCTGGCTACTACAGAGAAGCCTTTTCCAAGGCTTGTGTGAGACTTAGTTACTATAGTTAATATAGTTAATGTGTGCTACCTGTGTTCAAAATTTCTAATGTGTACCATCCCTTCTCTCCCAGGCTGAGATCAAAGCCTGGATGAATGCTTGGATCAATTGGAGGAGAACTTTCAAGGATTTTAGATTCTGGAGTTGGAGTTTAAAGTTATTTCAGAAACAAGGTATCAAATCTGGGCAAGTTGCTATGGGTTATTTCTGGGATAGCCCCCATCCCTACCCCAACATGTTTCATCTTAAATGCCTGAGAGGACAGTTCTCACCCAGGTGCACTGATCCACCTGGTTTAAGCCCATTCTGACTTCTACACAAAAAGAAGTAAGCACTTGGTCCCGGTATCTCCTAGCATAGCACAGAGCATCACTGGATCTCCACCTCTGCAGGTTGGGCACAGTCCTTTCCAGTCACTCTTCAGCTTTATCCAGTTAGTTGCTTCCAGGGACAGCTGACAGCCTCTTTTAGCCAAGCAGCTGCTCGCTGATGCACAATGTCCCTAATGCTCAAAGTCTGGTGGGTGATGATTGTTTTGCATTCTTATCAGCAATGGGTAGACTAGAATCAACCAGTTCCTTTGATAACCTCAGGATGTTAGGCTGCCATTCAAACCATTACCATCATAACTCTAACCCTCAAGTCACAGCAACACATTTATTATACACTTACTATATAATTTCCATTGCCCTGATCAATAGAAAGACAGGGAATTGATAATGTGGAGAAAATGCCCTCCCTCCGTCCCTCCGTCCCTCCCTCCCTCCCACTCTCTCTCTCTCTCTCTCTCTCTCTCTCTCTCTCTCTCTCTCTCTCTCTCTCTCTCTCTCTCTCTCTCTCATGCACACACACACGTGCGCGCACACGGAAAAATTATATACTAAAGGATGGTTGTTGAGTGCTACTCTCTGAAGATAACAGCCATCGGCTTCTTCAGACGTGACTACTTGTGACTCTTGAGATAGGGTCCATTGACTGTGGACGTTCCCTCAAGGAAGGAGGCTATGAGGAGGGTTATTGAACCCCCCCTTGAGATTCCAACCACCCCCTCCTGCACCTCTCAGTCAACCCTAAGTAGGTGCTAGAGTACACAGACTAGGGGAAGGGAACAGAAGAATGAGGAAGGCATCCATGCTGCTGTGAAAATTTCAGATGTGGTTGCTTCGAGATCGTCCATGCTGCTGGAAAGGAAGTAATCCCTTACAGAAAGCTCAATAAACATTTTGGTTCAAAATCGTGTTTGGTGGAATCCTTTAGTTTGTTATTGGTACTCTATCTGGAAGGACACACTGTCACAGTATCATAGTCAGTGGCATTTTTTTCTTTTTTAATTCTGAATTGTATTACTGCCACACTGGATATTAGAAGATGTCTCTGGTATAATATTTGACGAAGTGAAATACTATAATAGTTAATATCACCCATGGGGTGCTCTGGATGCTACTTAGATAAAGGTAGCTGTTTAAAGGACTTTTGCTTCGGGATGAAGGGTGTGACTTAGAGCTACATTTTTTTTAAACCCACTATTCTATTCAAGAATTGAACCCAAACAGTGCTGAGGTCTCCACAAAGATGCAGACATAAGCCAGGTTCCCCACACTGTTGGTAGTGTCACGATTCTGTCTACTCACATTCGGGCCTGTCTGCCAGAATCCTTGAGCCCGTGTCCCCGTGCTCCTCTCCCCCCTCAGTTCCCGTGGTTCTCACGGTTTTGCTCTTCACATTTTAAACTACTCATCACGCATGGAACTTGTTTGTCTAACCCTGAATGGGAGATGAAAACATTAGCCAACAAAGTAGGAGGAACGGAGAAGGACCGCTTCTAGAACAAGTCAGGCCGGGGAGAGTGCAGGGTCAGCGGAGGAGCAGCCAGAGAGCTCCTCGGGGGGCTCCAGGACCGCAGAAGAGGAGGCGGTGCCTTGGGAGGGAACACGGTGAAAGCAGAAGTAGCGCCCACACCCGGAGAGGAGGAGGATTGGGGCTGGGCGGCTCCGAGGTCGGGGTGAGCCGGCCGCCGAGAGGGGACGGCCCGGCTGCGCAGGGGCGCGTGCCGTGAGTCCGGGCGAGCGCGTGTGGCCCACGCTCGCTCCATCGTTCAGGCCCGCCCAAGACACGAAGCCGGAAGAGAGCTGCCGGCCGAGGGGGCTGTGAGCAGGGAGGGAGTCCAGCTCGCCGAGCTCGGGAGCAGGCTGGGTCTTGGCGCTCTCCGCCGGAGCCTGCCCGGAGCCTGGGTGTGAGGCTGGCGTCACGTCAACGAGCAGAGGCGGCCAGGCGGGGCGGAGTGCGCGTGCGCGGCTCGCTCGCCCGGGTGTGGGAGCGGGCTCGGGGCGGCGGGCACGCGCACGCGCGCGCCCCGGGCAGCCTAGGCGGCCGCTCCTGCCTGTCACTGCTGCGGCGCTGCTCGCTGGTCGTTCCCTTGAAGGCAGCGGAGGCGGCGGCGGCGGCGGCGGCGGCTCCAGACACCTGCGGCGGCGACCCCCCGGCGGCGGCGCGGAGATGTGGCCCTTGGTGGCGGCGCTGTTGCTGGGCTCCTGCTGCTGCGGTGAGTGGCTCGGGGATCCCGGCGGCTCTCGGGCTGGTGCGCAGCACCCGGGCGCCCCCGCAGGAGTGTGGGCTGCACCCCCGCCGGTCAGGCGGCGCCCGGAGGAGAGCGGAACGGGGAAGAGAGGGTGGCGGGATGCGCGGGCCCTGCGCACCCCGAGCGCCACCGTGGGAGGCCCCCGCGGGGCATCGGCGCCCCTGCCTCCCCCCGCGCCTGCCTCTCTCCTTCCGTGGTCCCTTTTTTCCCCCGGGGGAGAGCGGGCTGAAGCTCCTCACTCTCCAGTGCGCACACGTAGGAAGACTGAGAACAACCGCAACTGTGCAAAGCTCAACTGCAAAGAAAGCGAGGGGGCAGCTGCCAGGGACCCCCCCTTCCTCTCGCACCCCTCTCCCTTCTCGGTGCTTCCACGTAGCATTTGGGGCCGAAGGACTGGAGTGGGAGGGCCGGGCCTCTTGTGATGAAGTGCGCATTTTGGTGAAGTCGACCAGAAAGGCTTTTGCCCCTACCTCGTTAGCTCTGGAGCAGAGAGGACTCGATGAACCTAAGTTTCATTTCCCAACCAGCGTTTGTCAAAGATTTTTTTATTTCTGGCCGCGTATTTTGGTGTTTGTTGTTTTGAATCCTAAAAACAAGCTTCTCCTGACACCCCGCCGCCACCCCCCCCCGCTAATACTTTATTCAATATATTCCTTATTGTAGGTTTAAGTTGTTGTTTTTTGTTCTCCTTTGGGGAAGCTTTTTTTAGAATTTACTCTGATGCTGCCAGTAGTCTAAGGACAGTAATAACGTATCAAAACACATGTGCAGCAGACTGGTCCTTAGAGTCAAAGATACACCCCCCTCCCCATCTTTTGTGTTTTGCTGTTTATTAACGTGTGCCTCCTTTGGAAAAAGCCGAGGAAAGGACAGGGATTTTTGTGACTATATACTGCCCATCAAGCTTCAAATCCATAGATTCCTCTGTGAACTTTTTTTGTAAGAATTACAGCAGGCTTGAATCAAGGATAACAGTAAATGTTCAGTTTGACTTAGGATGATGAACTAATTCAACCTTAAACTGATGGTTAACCTCAGTGTGCCATTGATAAAGGCCCATGTCTGGGAACTGTTTCCAAGATGCCCTTAATTCCCTGCTCATCACTTTCCCCTTCCCAAGCATCCTGCATGTTGTAACTGATAATAATAATAAGCTGTGTTATCTGAATTGTTGGTTTTAGGTGCTTTCCGTTTTCAGTCATCTTTACTATGCTTGTTGTCATCACTATCATTATAACAGTTTTCAAATATCTGTTGTATAATCAGAGAGCTTTCATATCGAGCTAGGTATAAATTTGTAACAAAATGCCAGTAATTCAGACCATGGACACTGAAGTTTGTTTGTCTGAAAAATAAAAATATAAGCCATATACTGGTTGTTTTTTTAAAAGCCAGATTTTCAAGTAGGTTAAAAACAAAACTGAATGGTGGTTTTGGTGCTAGGAATTGTGTTAGGCCTTTATTAGCAATAGTTATGATCACATTGATTAATGATCATTTTGTACAATATTAACACATTTGAATCTACAAGGAGTTGCAAAATTTAGAGCTTGCACTATCTTATTGTACTTGTTATTAACTAGCAAACAAAACAACCCAAAATGCAGGCATTATGCTTTTGAGTTGTTAGGCATATGTAAATTAGGAAATGAATGTTTGTCAGAGATAAAATGAACTTTTGTGTGTATATCATATGTAGGTTCAAAAGAACACATATGACAGTATGCTAGCAGTCTGAGAACACAAGCAGTTATCTAGCGACCCAGGGGACTTGATTTAGACTCTAGAGTGAGTATGAAAGCCATGGATTTTTAACATTCATTTGTGCTGAAGTTGCTTTCATTTTCAGTTTCATTTGTATTGAACCGGGTAGCCAGGGGCCATGTCGTTGTCATCTCTACAGTTTCAGTGACCTCTGTGGTAAAAGAGGAGTGTGTGGGGGTTTCTAACACCCCTTCAACCAATTAAAACCGAGTGCAGCTCTCTGTAATGCTGTACAAGATATGGAATGATTGTCTATATTCCTCCCCCGTATGTCCAATTACACTTCCTTTAAGAGTGTGGCAGTTTCCAGGTAGTCACTAAACTAGTAAATACAACCTTAAATAAATAATGTCAGTCATATATATGAACCAATAATTTTTTTGATGGTTGAATGATTTTTCTTTGTTCAACGTGACTTTTAAAAGTCAGGCATGCACATGATTGAGTTAAAAATGTTTTATTACCTAAATATAGCAGGCATGTAGCTCTCGTAAAAAATGTTTTCTTTTTCTCTTGAAGAATAGATTATTTTAAAGCACAAGTTGCCATTTTAAAGGAATAAATGCCTCTGTGTGTGCCCTTGTCTGTGAGCTGCAGCAGCAGTCTGAAGCAACATGTTTAGGCACTGCATTAAAAGTCTACATTGGAACACTTCTGCTGTCATCTGGGTTTTGGCAGATAGCTTAACTTCATCAGTAAAGTGCTAATAAAAGTTTGGAAGGTCATGTTCTAAAGGCAAAAAATGAGGTATCTCCTCCCTCCATTGATGCATGTTCTAAATACAAAAATCACCAAAATTCGTGTTTTCTTTTCAGCAGCATTCTTTTTTGTGCTATCATTTACAGAGAACCTGTCGTTGAGGTTTTTGCTGTCAAGATAAAATATAGAAGTTTACATTTTTATAGCTTGTGTCTCAGTCTAATATAAAGCATACACAAACATACTGGATTATAAAGTTACTTTCACTTTGTATATGAGTGCAGTTACTCCTTGGAAAAAGAGCAATATTGTAAATTTAATTTTGCTAAACTCATTGTAATACAAAAGTAGGGAACAGAGCACCCAGCAAATGTGATTCCTCTTTCCCTAGACCAACCTTCCTAATGCTGCAACCCTTTTGCATAGTTTCTCATACTGTGCTGACCCACCCACCCACACATAAAATTATTTTCATTGCTACTTCACAACTGTAATTTTGCTACTGTTATGAATCATAATGAAAATATCTGTTATGCAGGATATCTGATAAGTGCCCACCCCCCAAGGGTCAAAATCTACAGGTTGAGAACTACTGTCTAAGACAAAGACTCCAGATGTCGTGTTTCCCTCTTTGTGGTTGGTTACATGGAGCTGAAATTGCAATGAGATGCCCTACCCTTCTCTGGAATATTTCATTCCACACCCGTGGAGCTCTACGTAAGATTTAGAGTCTGTTCAGCTCCCAGACTGAGTGGGGGGGGGGTAGTTTGAGAGAATTCATTTGCCAAAAAAAAAACTTTTTTCATTTTCAGCAAGTTTGAGCTCATACTGCACTCCACTAAATGCTCTACAAGACTCTTAAAGGCATAGAGACATATTTCAAACTTCAAATTTGTGTGTATCTAGTAACTTAACTGTGGTTTATGGAAAGGAAACCATGTTTATCTTTCGGTGGCACTTGGTATACTTCAGGTCGTGATAAAGTCAGACCAGCATGTTACTACCAACTTTAAACTGCCCTAACCACGGTGACTCTAGATTCACTACTTCTATTCATATAAAGACACTTTAAAGCCAGTGTATGGGGAAGGATTGCTTTGAGTAAGACTAAGCTGTGGACTCCTGACCTCTATTTTAACATCTTCCAAGGAGAACTGTATCCTTCTCCTGTCCTGACTTAATTTTAGTCTCAGACCCAAGTTTTTCCAGCCAGGGGCTGGTTCTAAGGGCAGAGTTGTAGGGCTCCATTCTGCCAGCCTATGCCTTTCATCATGGATGCATCAGTTGCCTCAGCAGCCATTGGGGCTTCTCAACCCATTCGTGAACATCACTCCAAGCTGCTAATTCGCTTCTTATTCCTCTGTGAAAAATGGGAGGGTGGTGTTCACCTCCCAGCTGCTCTCCCAACACTGCTAACCCTTGCTTTGTAGACAGCCTTCTTGCCCCTGTCTTTCAGCTAGTTCACTTTCCCAAGGGCATGTCAGCCTCCCCATCCCTCTTCATATCCACCGCCTTGCAGACCTGCTCCCAGACCTTGTTCCTCAGTCTTATTGTCAACATCTTGCCCTTGACGTTGACTTCTTCCCCTTAGCTTACTGCCATGATCAAGTTTTACCTCATAATAAAAAAGAAAGCCAAAGTCTGAGAAGATCAAAAAAATATTCTTGCCCTTGTCCTCACCTCAACACTTGTTGAACTTTTGTCTCTGCTCTCTGACTGTGAGGTTTATTTAAAGGCTCACACGGCTGCAGTCTCATCACCTCCTGAGTGCACGTCCACGTGGTCCCACCCATCCACTGGATAGAAGGCAGCCACTTTTGAGTCCTAGGTTGGGCTTTTCAGTGTTTAACGTCTTTCTCCCTGCCTTGTAGTCTGCCATATTAACATGGTGGCTTGGTTTTTTATGCTTCCCTCACTTCTTTCTGGCCCTCGACTTACTCTCTTTGATTATTATCTCCATGAATATTGACATTGCCAAGCTTTTGTCCTCTGCTGTTTGCTTTACAAGCACCCTGGGTGGTCAACCTTCTCTGTGCTGGCAATCTCAACCAGCGATGTTCCTGCTGATTCCCAAGTCTTTATAGCTCTGATCTTTCCTCTGAAATCCGAAGTCATACATTCTGGGATCTACTGGACATGGCTTCCTCACTGTACCACAGGCGCTTTTAATGCTTAGACGGAAACCCTGAAAGGGTAACTCGGCTAAATCTTCAGCCTCTTTTCCATGTAATTAATCTACAACCAGCTAGTTCCACAGACTATTTTAGCTTCCAATTTTCATTTTTCCTTTTTTATCTCCCTCACCTCCCACATCTGACTTCTGTTGATTTTGCTGCTTTGATTTTTAATGCCACTTTCTAAGGCCTTCTCTGTACTTGTCATCTACCTGGACTGTGTCAGTTGGTTCTTAACGGGTCTCTCTTCTCCCCTTCCTGCCCTCAATCCCCCTCTCATGCTGCCGTCAAATATTATCTTCCTTAAAGTTGAAATAAACCCAGCTG